GGCGGGACAAACAATGATCTATCTGGATCTTGTGCAGCCGATTGTTTTGGTCTGAAGCTGTGTCATTTCCAACCAGTTCGAAAAAAAAAAATTACCTAGAGCTCGATCTGAATCTCAGAATTCAAACCGTAAACGCCGACCTAAGATAACTTGTATGCTTGGGGAAATGAGTCACGCCGCAAGTCTCTCAGCAGAAACAAAGGGTAAAGCTTCTGTCTCAGCCTAGCATTAGCTGTGATAGCACCGTGCATGTTTACACTAACTGAATACATATATTTAGACAGTAAAAATACATTTAGACAATGATAGACAGTAACAATAATTATTATTATATAATAAAATACATTTAAAATGAAAGATTTCTTAATTATTTTAATGTTAATAATAAACCATTAATATGTTTAATTATAATAATATTGTTGTGCCAAGCCGGAACGAAGACAAAGGCACAGACGTCAGGTTATTGGGGAATACGGGGTTTAATTACAGTTATGGCAGGCAAAACGCAAATGGACAATACAATGACCTGACTGGGGAAACAAACTGAAACGCGGGCGAAATACAGTGGACTAATGACAACAAGCAGAGACAGCTGATCACACTGGGATTCCACACGGGGTTAACGAGGGGGCGTGGCACACGGAAGGAGCGGAAGATTGGGGCAGGACACATTGTTTGGATACATTTATTTTCTTACTTTTCAAATTACTGTTTTGATAAATGTGCTAAGATGTGCTTAGTACAGTATATGCTCTTCTTGTTTTATCTGGTTCATTTTGTGTTTAAATGCTAAAAAACACATATTTAGGTGTAATTTGTTGGGGCCAGGAACCAATTAAATGGTTTTCCATTATTTCTTATCGGGAAAATTCGATCACAACTCGAACTTTTTAGAATTCGATCTGGATTTCTGAACAGATTACATTCGAGCTCTGAGGTACCACTGTACCATTTCAAAAACTGTGGCGTGAGAGTACTGATGAAACATTACAAATGTAATATGATTTAAGATTTGAGTCTGCTTATGTATTTTACTATTGAAACGTCCTTAGGGAATAATTATGGCTCACCATCACAAATAAAACCACTTTTTTTCTATAATAAAGTAGATATACTGTATATGTGATGTGGGCTATGAGATGAAATTAAATGTACAAGTTAATTATGACTCACAAGCACAATGCATCAGTATATGTGTAATTATGCCACTCGCATTTTTCCTACAATCCAGTTTCAATTCACCATCTCCACCTGTGAACTTTCTCTAAAATGTACGTAGGCATGGGTCAGAGTTCCCGCACAGATACGCACATTCTGTTGTCAAGTTTGGTTCTATAGATCGTAACGTTTGTGTGGGAAGTAGCATATGCCTCTTTCAGGTCCCATTTTGTGCGGACACGACAGACAGTTATATATGAGATCTCTGGTTCCTTTCTCTGAGCTCAGTTCACAGCTGAGTTTGTTTCCAGACATTCTGACCTTCACAATCACTTCACTTACGCTTGACCGGAGCAGCTGTGGCAGGGCAGAAATGTGGCAAACTGACTTGGAAAGATGGCATCCTATGATGGTACCATGTGGAAAGTCATTGTTATGTACAACCACTCTTTCTGCAGCTAATGTCTGTTCCAGGAGATCATGGGTGTCACGTTTGGTCAGGAAGAGACAGGGATCCAGGAATGCGGTGAGAACAGGAGTTTAATGAGTTGTCACAGGACAGACTTAAAGCGGCAAGAGCTGGCTACACTGTATCTTTAGTCCCGGTGCCCGGATCCCCGTCCGAGGAGTTTGACAGGTAAGCTGGGGAGAGGCGTGCAGTACTCGTAGTCGCAGTCC